GCCGCTCCGAGGCGGGGGCCGAGTGCGGGCTCCGTTTTGGTGCCCATGGGAACGCGGCAGCTTCCCATTTCCTGCTAGACCCCTTCCCCAACGCACCTGGCCTGCAGCACCCCCCCTCCGCCTGGATCTGAGCAGCATCCCCTGCTGTCCCAGTGCTGTTCCTCCAACAGCTCTGCCAGTAAGGCACCAAGACCTGATCTGCAATGTTCTCTACGTCCTCTTTCTTCCAGGTTTCCCAATGCACAGCACTCCTGGCAACATGTTTTGTTATTCCCCTTCAAGCCACCTGCCTCAAACTCTCCACTGCACCTCAAGCCTAACCCACAGCGCCCCTTGTGTTCTGGTCTCTATTGTTACAGCTCTGTCTTGTTTTCTGTTTTTACACTGAGAGTATATTCCATGTTAGCAAAACAGTAGCAGTGACTGTGCAGTAGCTTTTATTGCTCAAGATGGTGAGATCCTAGCCACAGCTCCAACCCTTTCTCCCCCTGCCCGGGAACTCCCAAGCTTATGTGCTTATATGTATAGTAGCCCAGTGTCTGAGAGTCTGTAATGCTGAAATGCTGGCTATTGCCTCTGGGTGTTGCTGTTGCTGAAATGTTGGCTGTTCCCTCTGGGCGGCACTGTTGCCTGAAATGTTGGCTGTTCCCTCTGGACGGCGCTGTTGCTGAAATGCTAGCTATTCCCTCTGGGCGGCCCGTGCTGCATGGGGAGTGCAGGGCCCAAACGGCCGCTTGCTTCCCCACGGCGGCCCAGCTGAGCGGCGCAGAAGTCAGCCAAGCGCCATGGCGGGAGGCAACAGCGCCACCCAGAGGGAAGAGGCAGGGCGCGGGGCCTGGATGAGCATGCGTCTCTGACATCAGGAAAGGGCGCCGGATTCAAAAGGAGGAAAGCGGAGCAGACACAGAGGACATGGAGGAGGCAGAGGAGAGTGAGAGAGACGCAGCAGGAGGAGGAGAAGAGAAACACAGAGTGAGAGGCGGAGGGGGAGAAGAGAGAGAGAGAGACCAAGAGAGAGGCAGGGGGGGGAGGAGAAGAGAAACACAGAGTGAGAGGCGGGAGGGGGAGAAGAGAGAGAGAGACCAGGAGAGAGGCAGGAGGCGGACGAGAGCTGAGAGAGAGAGAGAGGGCAAGGCAGTAGGAGGAGAGAGAGAGAGGCAGCTGCCCCGCTTGCTCCCACGCGGCGGCCCAGCTGAGCGGTGCAGAAGTCATCTACTGTGGCTCTCAGCTGACTTCTGCGCCCCTCAGCCGAGCCACCCTGTGGGAGCAAGCAGCGCAAATGGCCATTTGGGCTCCGCAGTCCCCATGCAGAGAGAGAGATGCAGGAGGAGGAGGAGAAGAGAAACAGAGTGGGAGGGGGAGAAGAGAGAGAGAGATAGATGAAGAAAGAGGGAGGAGGCAGAGGAGAGCTGAGACAGAGCGGGGGGGATGCAGTAGGAAAAGGAGAGAGACGGAGCGAGAGACCAGAGGCTCAGGAGAAAAGACCGACGTGGAGGAGAGACCTGAAAATCCCATCTTATGACGGGCTAATTGGCTAGTGTGTTTATAATGGAGTATAGTTGCAAATCATGGGTTATGGTAATACTATAGATGCCAGCGATCAAAAGGGCCTTGTATACAAAAGAAGACAATTTGACATATAGGCACTGTTTTGTCTTTGAGCTATGTTGTATTCTCCTGCTAACTCACAGCACTGGTGTGGCTATGTTTTGCAGTCAGGGAATATCAACTGCCTCACACTGACCTGTCAGCGACTGCAGAACAACATGGGGATGAAGAGAGGTATCACCAGCTGTACCCAGGGCACATCCCTACCAGCCCTCTGCAGAAAGCCCTCTTGACTGCTGGCTCAGCATTTATGGCTCTCTACAATCCCTATCGGCACGGTAAGCTGAACTCTGCAGCGTTTATTCAGCTGTGATCTCCACGTTCACTGAGACTGTATTTCCTTCCCAGCCCAAGAACCATATTTGTGTTTCTGTTAGGAGTTTCCATGGGGATTTTCACTCTTTTAATTCCCCACTCTATACTTTGGGAGAGAACGTTAGTGTTTAAGAGACTGAGAGGCTGAGGCTGGCACACAGAGACATCTGTAATGCAGACAGTGAGACAGTTCCTGCACATCTCTGTTAAAACATCTCATTCCTCATCCCTTGTCACTCCAAACTTCTCAGTTCTGCTAACCTCACTTTCAATCTGAAGCACTCCCTGTTGTCCCGTCCCAGACCCCATCCATAGCTCTGGCACCGCACCTCGCTCCTGACCTCCAGAGCCCTGTCTGTGCAGCTCCTGTGACTAGCCGCATGGCAGTGTAAACCCCAAAAACTGGAGGATGGTTTAGTGCAAGGGTTGGCAATCTGTGGCTTGCTAGCCAAAAACGAAGTGTAAACCCCGAAAACTGGAGGATGGTTTAGTGCAAGGGTTGGCAATCTGTGGCTTGCTAACCAAATACTGCTCACTAGGGAGCCAGATATGGCTCTTTTAAAGCTCAAGCCCAGCCCTCCCTTATTCTCTCCGCAGCAGGGAGCCTGCACTGGTGCTGCAGCTGGCCTGGGCAAAACAATCCAACCTGCAGATGCAGCAGTGAGCCCCTACTCAGATTCCCCTGCTTGCCCCGCCCCCACACGCCACTCAGAAAAGCGGCTGTGGGGCAGTTTGTGTTCCACAAACTGAGCTGGGAAGGGGAGTGGAGTGGTGCTTCATGGCTGCTCCCGCCCTTAGCACAATCCTCTTTCAAGAACAGGCAGCGCATGAAGCACCAGTCTGCCTCCAATCTTTTCCCCCTCCCCCAGGCTCTTATTCACAGAGCACATGGCCATGCAGCTTGTGCAGGGAGGGGAGGCTCCTGAGAAACGTGTTGGGCTGCTGCTCTGGAGTCTCACTGCTAAGACTCCCAGCCAGAGCCTGCCTCTGGCACCCCACTCCTTCCCCCACATTTTTCTGCCCCCTCCTACACCTTATCCCACTTAAGCCAAACCCTCTGCCCCCCTCCTGAGACTATACCCCCACTGAAACCCTCGCCCAATCCCCTGCCCCACATCACAATCCCCTTCTGCCCTAGGTGCCAATCCAAACTCCTGCACTGTAACCCCTGCCTTAGATCACAATCAAAACCCCAGTCCCCTGCTGTAGGTCACAATCAGTGTTGCTTCTAAGCTGGGTGGCAGCACAGCTTCATGAGTGATTATTCAGCCCGGCCCAGTAGGTCAGCTCCCTGCATGGAGCCCTGAGCCTCTGACTAGGCAGTGCTGATTAATCACCTGTGAAGCTGTGCTGCCCCAAAGTTTAGCGGGAACACTGGTCACAGTCCAAACCCCTGCACTGTAATCCCCCACCCTAGGTCACAGTCCAAACCTCTGCACCCCCCTTGCACCCCAGTCCCCTGCCCTAAGTCACAGCCCCGTCCTGCCCTAGGTCACAGTCCAAACCCCTGCACCCCAATCCCGTGCCTCAGGTCACAACTGCCTCCTTCACCCAAACTCAGTGGCCCCCGACCCAAAAAAGGTTCCCCATTCTCACCATAAATAAAGACAATGTTGAAACCTTTTGTGTAGGACAGTGTTTCCCAACCAGGATTCTGCGGAACCTTGGGGTTCCACGAGAAATCGTGGAATAAATACAAATTTTGAAATACCACAAACAATTCCAAATATCCCTCGAAATATCGCGGGAATTTTTGTCCAGCAATTGGCAATACTGGAGTAATCTTCATATGCTACCAACTGCCTCTTTGTTTTGTTTTAGTCAGTTCATATCTAAGGTTATATTTAGTTGTATTGTGCCTGCCCTTCTGCTTCCCAGAAGTCTCCGTGTTTCTAGTCTTTTCTAGTGCACATTATCCTCGTTCGCTATTTTGTAGATTTGTAGTCTTTGCACAGTTTTGTAATTAACGTTTTTACTGAAACTGTGGTTGTTTTCGTGTATCTAAAGTCTCACCTATGTAACAGTATTTTCATACGGCCGTCGAAAATAAAAAAAATTTGGAAGTATATGAAAAGAAGTGAAGGAAAGGAAAGAGAAAATGAATCAAAATGATCAAAGCCAAGTACGAGTGAAACAGGAAGAGAAGTGACTGATATTAAAAAAAATTGCCTTTACAATGACAGTTACTTGGCCATGGGTTTTACATGGACTGGAGACGAAAATTGCCCTGTTCCATTGTGCATTGTTTGTGGGGAAAAAACTAACTAACACAGCTATGGCCCTGGCCACGTTAAATCGACACTTCACTACTAACCATAGCCACTTGTCAAATAAAACAGTTGATTACTTTCAACGACTTTTGGATTCACAAGGAAAATAACGTAAAGTTTTTGAGAAGAAGGTAACTATCAATGAAAAGGATCAAGAAGCATGCTATTTAGTAGCTGAGCTAGTTGCACAAAAAATGAAGTCACACTATTGCTGAAAGCCTAATAATGCCTGCTTGTAAAATAATAGTGAGTACAATGATAGGCAAAGAGGCTGAATGTGAAATTGTCTAAAAGTTCCTGTTTCTAATAATACTATTAGTAGGCATGTGGATGACATGTCACACAATATTGAAGATGTCTTGTCTGAAATACCAATACTGTTAGTTGGCATGTGGATGACATGTCACACAACATTGAAGATATCTTGTCTGAAATACTAAAAAATACTAACTTTGCTCTCCAAGTCATCAAGTCAACAGACATAACAAGTAAAGTTCAGCTGTTGGCATTCGTACGATTTGAAAATGAAGGTGAAATAATGGAAAATTTTTGTTGTTGTAAAGAGCTGCCTGAAATGACCAAAGGTCAAGACATTTTCAACATCTTGTCGTCTTATTTGGAATCCTGTGGTTTGTCATGGAGCCAGTGTATTGGAATTTGCACTGATGGTGTCCCCTCAATGATTGGCTCAATAAAAGGCTTTGTTACACTCGTCAAAGAAAAAAACCCTGATGTCATAACGACCCACTGCTTCCTGCACCGGGAAGTTCTTGTTTCAAAAACTATTGGGGAGGATTTAAAACAAGTCCTTGAAGTAGCTGTGAACATGGTCAGTTTTATAAAGCAGCGCCCTCTTAAGTCACGCATGTTTGCAAAGCTCTGTGAAAATATGCAAAAAGACCATGTGCTCTCCTTCTACGCACCGATGTTAGATGGCTTTCAAGAGGGAAAGTTTTAACAAGGGTATTTGAGAGGAACTACTGCTTTTCTTCAAAGATAATAAAGTCAGTTTTTCTGACTTTCTTGAAGATACAAAATGGCTGCTGAAACTAGTCTACTTAGATATTTATCAGCACTTAAACATCTTGAACACCACCATGCAGGACCCAAAAGAAGTGTCAGAAGTGAAAGTGGGCAGCTGTGGCACACCAGTAAGAACCGGCTGCTGGTAGGGGCCTGCACACAGCCCACATTTTGCTCGCCCCTGTGTAGGTGAGCCCTCTAGTAGGTTCTGGTAGTGCTGCTGCAGCAGTGCTTCACTGCCCCATTTGCCGGGGGCAAAGGATCAACCACATTAAAACACTGCTACGGAAGCATTGCCGGGTAGGGATGTAAGCGACTAGTCGACTATCTGATGAACAAAAGCTTATGGGACAGTTGACTAGTGTCTAGACTAGTCGATTCCCTGCAGCCAGGTGGGGGAGCAGGAGCCAGTGCTGGGGGGAGCCAGCTTAAAAGCCAGTTCCCCACCACCACCATCTCCGTGGCAGGCAGGGGGGTAGCAGGGACTAGGCACGAGCCGGGAGTCAGCTGCCCACTTTCACTTCTGACCCTAACCACTAAACCAGGGGTCGGCAACCTTTTCAACCAAAGAGCCAAACTACATCAAAATTCAGAACAAGTGGTCAACAAGGAGCTGTATCAGAATGCCCATTTGCATGACTGAAAATATACAACTTAATATAATTGATAATTGACATATTTAATGGGACTTCTGCTGCTGCATTGTTTCACACATTTCTTTGAAGTTTACATCATAACTGGTCATGCATGCAGGCATTCAGGCTGTCTTCTGTCAATCTTATGGCTGGAGATGTGGGGGTGCAGGCGTCTGGGTTGGGTTGCATGAGGGGCTCAGGGCAGGGATGAATGATGGACCCAGGCCACAGTGTGGGGTATGGGTGTGGTGCAGAAGTTTTATGGCAGGGAACTGGGGATGTGTTGGTATGACGGGCTCAGGGCAGGGGGTTTAGGTGTTGGATGAGCTCGGGTTTGGTGTGCGTGGGGGGTGCAGGAGTGTTTTGACGCTGTGGACAGATGGGCGTTGGGCCCCAATTGGGGGCCCAATCCCAGATGCTGTGCCTCTGCTTTTTAAATGTATTAAGAGCCTACCAACTCTTAATACATTTAATAATCAGAAGTGCAGCAGGGGGTTCCTGGTGCAATCCGGGACAGCTGATTCCGAGCTCGCGCCGGGTCCTCCCCACGGCACTCCAGCCTTTTTGTGTTTAAAAAGACAGGCTCTTAATACATTTAAAAGGCAGAGCCACAGCAGGGCTATCCATTAATTAGTCAATTAGTTGATTAAGCAAAACTCTGGGCAGGGCTGCTGATGGGGGGAGCAAAAGGAGCAGCTGCGCTGGAGCTCAATGATTTCAGAGGGCCTGAGGCTCCTGGCCACTGTGGCAAATTGCCACCGGAGCTCTGGGGCTCCCAGCTTCCACCAGTGCAGCCCTGGGATTCCAGGCTGCCGGCCATAAAGGACTGGCTGGTGGGGAGGGGATCTGCTCCCAGCCTTGCACCTTCCGCCTGAGATCCTGCCCCTTCTGGGGGCCCAGAGCCTCACACACACACACACCCTGCTAAGGATCCAAGGGCAGGGTGTACCAGTAAATCCTGGAGTCCACATTCACTCCTGGTTAGGGTGCTTCACCACAGATGTTCTGATTAACCTCCAGCAAGTCACGTTGTCTCTCTCTGCCTCAGTTCCCCATGTGGGATAATAGAACTTCTCTACCCCGCAGGAGTGCTGTGAGGGTAAATGCATTCATGATTCTGAGGTGCTTGGACATTGCAGAGATGATGGCCACATAAGTATCTAAAAGTTGTTAGCCCTGTTGCTTTGTGTCCTTAGGATTTTCATTCTCAGCCAGACAGTCTGTTTGTTTGCTGGTCTTTTATTATCAGTTTCCCAGCTGGTGGCAGTCCTGGGTGAGACAACCGGTTCTGTAGCCCTGCAGAACCTGAGGGACAGAATGAGACACGACCCGGAAGGTTATCAGATCCTAGAGTGCGTCGTTGTCCATCTTACCTAGCTGCCTCTTAAACTTGTCTCCTTCCCTGCCACAGGCTGTCAGGAGCAATTGTACCTAGTCAGCACACTCTGGGCAGGCAGTGCAGGCTCATGTTTCCAAGGGGGGGACTTTTGGAATCATTCTTAGAGGGACAGGGTTTTCTGCTCCCCTTCTGATGTTCAGAATGGTCTTTTCTGACAAGTCCAGGAACAGCAATAAACACCTTTAGGCACATTCTTATTTCAGGTGTGCAGGCCTGCCCACTTCCTTGTCAGTTTCAGCTCTGCTGCTGCTGTATTGGTGAACACGCTCTTCAAGGTGTGGGGAAGTGCACGTATGTGAGCTTCCCTCCCCAGCAGTTCATGAGGGTGATGGCATCTCCTGCCCCCTGTTCCTGCTGCTAGATCTTATTCCATCAGTCTGCCAACAATGCAGCCTCCATCACTGGTTTTTCCCTTTCTCCCACAAATATCTGTTTGCTTTCTTCTGTACCACCCCCTACACTAGAGATCTCCTCCCCACACTAGTTTGGAAGTACACTAAGCCTCTCCGTCAGATCCCTCCTTAAGACCCACTTGTGCTGTGATGCTTATAGGAAACTGCCAGCCTCTCCTCTCATTCCTGTTACTGTTTCCTTTGTCCTCCCTTTCCTGTTCTTTCTGATTATGGTTACACCTACTTCTTAAGTATAGTGTAAACTGCTGGGATCAGAGGCTGCCTTTTGCTCCGTGTTTGCAGCGCTTCTGGTACAGTGTAGTCCTAATCCTGGTTGGGGCTTCTGGGTGCTCCTGCAATGCAAATACTAAATACTTAACAGTAGGGCATCAGGCAGGAAGTGCAGCTACATGTCAGCCAAGCAGTGAAACTGAAAACTGTCAGATGCACAGACAGAGAAGAAGGGGAAATGTATGTATTTCAATTCTCGGAATTTCCATTAATTAGGCCTAGACACAACTTAAATGCCCCTTAATCCTTGTCTGGTGAATATGAGGGTGCTTAGATCAAGCCTGTACACATGAGAAGTTTCACCCAGAAACCAAAGCTAGTATGTTATTGGCCTTTTAGTGCTTTGAATCATCCCTCCTATTAAATATCTTCACTGAAAATCAGAGAGATCCTGGGAAGTGTGCCTTTTGCTGTATGAGTCTTGTTTCTAGCTGTGTTCTGTGATAGGCCCTGAACCTATTAAAGCACCAACAGCTCAGCAGGAGCAGGTATTAAGCCCACATTTAGGACAGATTTTTCTCTCCACTGAAGAGCTGCCTGATTCATGGGGCAGTGTACAAACAACGGCACTTTGTCTGTGAAGCCCTTGGCCAAAGCTACCCCTCCCCCTCTCCCACCACAACTGTTGTGCATGGTGCTACATACCCCTCTCTGGTGCCTTAATAGTGGCTGCATTTCAGAAGTGCTGCTCATAGAGAATTCAACATCGTCAGGGATGAGTGGCACTATAGAAATGCGCGATAACAGCTTTATTGATGCTATGGTTCCTATAAGCTCTTTGTGCTCACTGCCCTGCTTCCCACAGGTATGTAATAATAGGCAAGGAGGATAAATTGGTGCTTGAGCAGGACTTTGAAAGCCAGTGGAGAAGGGCATTAGCAAAACCCTCTTGCCAAGGATGTGAATTCCAGCAATACAGCTGTCTGGGCAGCTGGCCATGGTTTCCTCAGCTTCTGTAGGGAGTTGCTGAGGATGGAATGACTCAGACAGTCTTTTTTTCATTTGCAGAGAGCGGCCTCGGATCCGGCTTTCCACTCTGGATGTAACTGGGCTCCGGGGGCTGGCAGATGGAATGTTTGGCCGAGAATATGTCCGGTTTTTGGACAGCAATGTGAGTATGGAGCCTAGCAGCCCTTGAGAGGCAGTAGGACATTTGGGGCAATGGATGGCTTTACCTCATCGATCTGGTGAGAAAAGCACAAATGGGCTGGTGGGGAGAGGTGCTGAGCCATCTGGGAGTACAGCAAGGGCGAAAGTGGATAGGGGAGCCTATAAAGCCTCCGGTGAAAATAAACAAGCCTAGTGAATAGAACACTAGACTCAGACTCAGGACACCTGGCTCTGTCAGTGGCCTGCTGGGTGATCTGGGGCAAGTCACTTTGCTTCTGTTTCCCTTTCTGTAAAATGGGGCTAAATTCTGATCTCCTTTGTAAAATGCCTTAAGATCACCTGAGGAACAGGGCGATGTAAGAGACAGGGATTATTATTAAAGAATCATCATGGAAACCTGAACTGGCAGGTAGCAGGAGGTGAACCAGGGATGTTCTGATTTTGCAGAGGGTCTCTCCAGACACCAGGATGCCGGTCAAGTTTGTTGACGATGAGGAGCTGGCTTATGTGATCCAGCGGTACCGTGAGGTCCATGACCTGATGCACACACTCCTCGGCATGCCCACCAACATGCTTGGTGAGTTCAGACTGGGTGCGACCGAAAGTTGGTATTCTCTAGCACGCAGCTGTGTGAAATGAACTGGGGAGGCCTCCGTCAGGCTGCCTGTGGGGAGAGGCCCACATCACAAAACCCATCCGCGCAGCTTGGGCACCTTGTTGGCTGCCCTATCAGAGAGGCCAAAGCCTGAACTCCTGATTGGAGCTGGAGGTGTGGGGATGCTTTGCTACTGTCTGCACTCCACTCCTCTGTGGATAAAAAGAGAACCTCCGTCTCCGGGAGCCCTCACCCTTCACCTACTTTCTGACTAGGAAGAGGTTGAGTGGGCATAGCCTCCAAGGGCTGATGGCGAAATAGGCAGTGCAAGGGGAACAGCTGCAGGAGTGGATTGTTTCGTAAGCCGCTTGGAGCAATTGTGGCTTGGATTCATGAGAAGAGGATGGGAGGAGAAAGCTCTTCTAGTTGAGCTCTTATCTGCAAATAAGCTCTTGTCTGTTCCTCTGCATAGTCTTAATAGCAAGTGAAATTGCTGACCTGCAGTTAGTGAAACAAGGCTTTAGGACCTTGCAGGAGCTTCATCTTCCCAGAGGGTAGATGTTTATTTCAGAAAGGCATGTGCAGGGGAGTGGCCTGACATTTGACCTACTTCACCCAGCCAGCCCCATCTTTTTGTGTCCCACTGAGGAGTTTACAGAGTTGTGAATCTTGCTGTTAAATAGAGCCCTTTGGAATGGGATTTGGAAGACCTGGAATCTGTTCCTGGTTCTGCTACCAGCCTCCTAAGTGTCCTGGGGCAAGTGACTTCACTCTGCCTCTCCATCTCCCTGTCTGTCTAATGGGGATAGTGATCACAACTGCTCTTCGTAAAGTGCTTTGTGATCTGCTGGTGAGAAGTAAAAGAGCTAGAAAAGGAGTGTGCATTAATATTGAATGCCTGCAGCTCAGGGCTCAGCAATCAACCCAACCATAACAAACCTGCGCAAGCTGCTCTGTGCTCCTAAACTGCTTGACAACAATACAATAATAATTATAATAATGTGATTTTGGTAGCTAACTCCCTCAGACTCCTTTGAAAATCACAGCCTTCATTTTTAGCTTACACTTTTTTATTGTTGTACAGACCTCAATGTTAGGACTGCAGCATGAATGCTTGTTTGATTGATTACTGTCAAAGGGTGTCTGTGTTTCACACCTGGAGTGCGATACACCTTCTGTAGTACCTCGGAAAGGGGCCTTCAGAGTGAGCAAAGTCGGCTAGAGAATGTAAGGGCCCGATTCTGCTCCCATTCAAGCCAATAGCAAACCTTGTCTGAAGAGAGCAAGGGTACTTGCATCAGCAGGGTCGTGCCCCATTCTGTGGAGAGGACCAGATCATGTACTTTAATTGTGGGCATGGGCATTACAGAAGACCAGTGGTTGCACGTCGGTCATGCTTTAAAGGCTTTCTTCACATAGAAACATACCTCAAAAAAGAAATCTTAGAGATTCTATAGAATCTAAATAAGACAAGTGGGCAGCAAAAACCCATCAAGGCCAGATACTCTCCAGCCTGGGCTACCAGTGTAAATTAGAGAGCCATGTGAAATAGTGATTTCAAGCCCCTGAGTTCCCTGGCCAGATTTTGTTCTTTCATAGTCAAGTTTTCTCTTCCTTTTTCCAGTGTCTGGGTGGGTGTGTGTGTGTGCAAGATCTTTTTCCAGTGTCTGGGTGGGTGTGTGTGTGTGTGTGCAAGATTCTCACAAACAAATCAATCTGACCTAAGGACTGGATCCGGTATTGATGGAAGTTGGTGACAGCTTTACTGTTGATTCTAATGGGCTTTGGATCAGTTTCTACTGGATCATCCGGGCAAAATGGAGAAACTGATGGGTCACAAACTGTCAGTTAAAACAGAAATAGAGACAGATTCTCAGCTGATATAAATCAGGCTAGCTTCAGTGAAACCAATGAGGTTACACACCCATTGACTGCACTTAAGAATCTGTTCCATTGTGTGTGTGACGGTTACAGGGCCAGCTAGACCTCTGCCCCCTTTCTGGTGTCTCTAAGGGCACCCCTCCCAGAGTCAGCTGCATGCCTTCACCTGTCCCAGGGTGGAAATCTGTAGATCTGCCCCTCTTTAATCAGGCTCTGGGCTACAGCACCTTGTAGATCAACCATTCTTGTTAAGCTGGTCTGACCAAGATTAGACGCCTGTGGGATTTTCCTTTGGGAGTCTGTGTCCACAAGTGAATAGTGATCAGACAGCCTTTTAAATCAGAGGAGTGTTTATTTAATAAAGCGTTTAAAGAAAAAAGGTTGTAAAACAACACACCTGTCTTACCATCTCCTGACAGTCTCCTAGACCGCCTTAGCCACTGTTCCTTAACAATCCTCCAGTGCTGGAAAGTTGCTTACTTTGGATCCATTCTCTCTCCTTCCTGTTTGTTTTACCAGCACTCCACCCCATTGAACTAAACCAATCAACTGTGGGGTTAACAATCCCATAACCAGGTCAACACACAATATTCATAAATTGTTACAGAACATTTCCACAGCTCTCGCAGAGCCAAACCCAGTTATTCCTGAATTGTATCCAGCACAGCTGTCTGACCTGTTGATTGTGGAGCTAGGAATAGGGTGACTAGATAACAAGTGTGGGAAATCACGAGACTTTGGAGGATGGGAGAGGGTGATTATGCTTGCCTGTATTGGATCCGATAATATCAGGACATCTGGTCACCCTACTTGGGAAGTTTTAGGGTCTGATTTTTCCAGAGTCCAGAGGAAATGTGTACAATCTTAGTAAAAGCTGAATGATGGTCCAGATAGGCAGCTGAGGAAATAATTCACCAGGAAAGAGAGGATGAAAAATACAGCAACTCAATGACTCTGGCTTGGCAGGTATCTGCATAGGGAATTCTCCTTTTCCTGGGTCTTCTCTGGCTTTCTTCCAGGGGAGGTTGCAGTGAAGTGGTTCGAAGCTGTTCAGACTGGCCTGCCCATGTGCATCCTGGGAGCAGTGTTCGGCCCACTTCGTCTCAATGCCCGGTAGGTTGATCAGCTTCTGTGGTAGAGGTGTTAGATATCGTGTAATTGAATAGTCGTGTAACCGCATGAAATCTTAGCAGTTACACGATTATTTGATAGGCCCCAGGAGTGGGACTGGCAGTCAGTGCACTCTTGGCCCCACTCCAGGGGAGCCCCCTGCCACTCCTCACTGCTGTTCTCCATGCAGACTGGCTGCCTGCCGCACCATGCTGCTGCCTCTGATACAGAAGCAGTAACACGGGGAGGCAGCATCCCTTGTCCACCGGGGGTCCGCGCGCCTCATGGACAGAGGCTGCTCCATGGGATGCGGAGCAACCTCTGTCCATGGGGAACTCATACCCCCCACAGACAGAGGCTGTTTCACAATAGCCTCCCCTGATCTCCCCCCCCCCCACGCGGCTGTCTCTGATAGAGGCAGCAGTGTGGGGGGGCGAGGCAGAGCTTTTACGTCAGCTTCCCCCAGCACAAGCTCCTGCCTGCCCCCCACCTCCACCCCATTGCCTCTATAGGAGGCAGCAAGGCGTGGAGCATGCGATGTAGGTCCACAGAGCCAGCACATGAGGGAAGCCTGCTTGAAAGCTGGCTTCCCACACATATTGGCTCCAGCATACCCCTCTCACCCTCCACGCTGCTGCCCCTCTGAGGCAGCAGCGCAGGGGGAAGGAGGTTGGCAGATCCAGTGCTCTTGGGGAGCCAGCTTTTAAAGTCAGCTCCTCAGGGCACTGGCTCCTCCCCATCCCGCGCCTTGTATCAGAGGCAGCAAAGGGAGGGGAAATGTGTGTAGTCTACAAGATTAACCTACAAGCCTAAGCTAATCAGTTAATTGTGTAGTCGTCTACACAATGACCTCCTTAACCTGTGGGGCCTGTGCCTGGCTTGAAAGTCTTATTAACGAGATTCCCCCATATGTGTCTCCAAGATTGCCAAATAAAATGGCAATGGCTTGTGACAACAAAGGGGACCTGTCGGCAAGTGATGGGGTCTTCCAGTGGAAAGGGGGACTCGTGTTCCATAGATGTTTATAGGCAGAGGTGGCCTAGTGTGGAAGGAGATTAGAATATCACAGCTCTCGTAAGACCTGTCCAACATCCCTAAAGGAATGAAGCTGCTTGTCTAGGTCTGATTTATGCCATGAATCCTAATTGGACCTTCCCTTCTCTGTACCATAACCACTTCATAAATGAAACAGGGAGAATGAGATTGACCTGCTCATGGGGGGCGGGTCATGAGACTAAATCAATTAATTCTGCTCAAGCACTTTGAGGCCCTCAGATGAAAGGTGCTATAGAGTGTATAGTAGTTTTGTGTGCTGCTGTGTATAGTAGTCTTGTGTTTGACTATTGGATTATTGTGTTGCCAGGGAAGAAAGTAAAGCCTTTTCCACACCTTTATTGCAGGAAGTTGCAGATCTTGACCACAGAGCTTATTCCCTGGGCTGTTCAGAGTGGCCGCAATGCCAGCTGTGTCCTGAATTTCTACTATGAGAACCGCTGGGAGCAGACAGTGGAGTCTCTGAGGGAGGAGATCGGAATCTTACGTCCCCCTGCTATTCAAGTGTGAAAGTCTAGGGGACGGAGGGCATACTGGGCTTCACTGGGCACCATGCATGAGGAGCAATGAATAAACTCTTTGCAGGTTTGACCTTCGTCCTGGGAATTCTAGAGCAATTGAAGGCATCAGCCTGCTCAAATGAGATGCTGGTTTGCCAGCTTGCCAAGAGTGTAAGGGCTGCACCTAGTGACAGATACATTGCTGTTGTAAGTGGCTGCAGCTCTGCTGACGACAGTGGAGTTGCACTTTCTCGTGCCAAAGCTTAATTTGAACCCTGTGGCTGCCTTAGTCCTTGGTGTAGAGATGTGGCCCATGGAGATAAGTCCCACCATGCAGTGTGCCAACAAGCTCCCTCCAGACGATGGGACATGGAGTTTCTTCACAAAACCCTGTGGTTTACAGTCAGCTATCCCTGCAGTGTTGGAATGGGGAGGATGGGAAGTGGCGCTGAATTAAAGTAGCACTGAAACTATCTGGTGGTCTTTGGGTTGCCCTAACACTCCCTAGGTTTGCTGCACTGTGACCCCTTTCTGAAAACAAAAATTACTACACGGCCCTGGGAGGGAGGCGCAAAGCCCAAGGGATTTGGCTCCAGGTTTTGGGGCTCAGGCTTTCGCCTGGAACTCCAGCAAGTCTAATGCTAGTCCTGGAGACCCCATTCAAATGGGGTTCTGCCCCACAGTTTGCAGCCTGCTGCCCTGAGTGCATATCTACCCCACTAGGGAGCTGTCAGACTTGGGCCTGGTCTACACTGGTAGGTTAGGTTGAACTTAGCCACATTAGGTTAAATTTCTAAACAATGAATCCATACCACCAAGCCTGCTGGCTTTAAGGGCTGTTAAAATTGACTTTTGGTACTCCAGCTTTTCATGAGGTGCAATGGTGAATTCAACCTTGCATGGTCCATTTTACAGTAGTGCTGATGCAGTGCTGTGAAAGTTGAAGTTCTTGGCCTCTGGGAGGTGTCCCACAGTGCTCCGCTGTGACTGTTCTGGCCAGGACTTTCAACTCTACTGCTCTCCAGATGAACAGGAAAAGCCCCGGGAAATAATTTCCTTGTGTGGCCAGCATGGCGATCTGACTTCTGAACAGGCAGCATACAGACCCTAGGAACCCATGGTCAGCAGACGAGCACCAGCATGCAGTGCGCAGGAGATCCTGGACCTCATTGCTGTCTGGGGAGAGGAATCTGTTCTCACAGAACTATAAACCAAAAGAAACACAGATCTCTATGCCAAGATCACAAAGGGCACAGGGGGGAAAGGATACACCAGGGATGCCCAGCAGTGCTGTGTGAAAATAAAGGAGCTGAGGCAGCCGTATGAGAAGGTAAAGGAGGCAAACGGATGTTTTAGATCATTGCCGCAAATGTTCTGTGTCTGTGAGCAACTGTTTGCGATCCTGGGGGCAGGAGAGGGAGCAATCAGCTTCCCCAGCCAGGCTATGGAGTCCTCCCAAGACACTCCTCGATCAGCAGTGTGGAGGACAACGTGGATGAGGAAGAGGAGGAGGAAAATGGTCAGCAGGCAAGCAGGGCAACTGATGTCATGGATAACTCGAACCTTTTATAACTTTGGAGACAATCCCCCTCCCAGGCTGTCTGCAGCAGGGCACTGGTCCCTGGGAGGGCACTTCTGGGGAGTTCTTATCTTCTACAAGTGGGTTAAGGGACTTGGGTGTGATCTGTGGCGGCCACTCTGTCTGCACAGCGGGGACTCCCCAGGACGGCTTGTTAACGTGTCTGGAGACAGAGCAGGGATCCTCCTTGCACATCTCATAGAATCTCAGAATATTAGGACTGGAAGGGACCTCGAGAGGTCATCGAGTCCAGTCCCCTGCCCTCATGGCAGGACCAAGTACTGTCTAGACCATCCCTGATAGACATTTATCTAACCTGCTCTTAAATATCTCCAGAGACGGAGATTCCACAACCTCCCTGGGCAATTTATTCCAGTGTTTAACCATCCTGACAGTTAGGAACTTTTTCCTAATGTCCAATCTAAACCATCCTTGCTGCAGTTTAAGCCCATTGCTTCTTGTTCTATCCT